CCCAGTAAATTAAAGAGGCCGCTCCGTAACTAACTATAATATAAGGCTTAGAACGGTCTGCTAACTTACCCTATCGCTTCTCTTTTAGTATATAAACGAAGGTACGACTACTAACTATTCGTAAATGACTAAGATCCAGTTATTTACCATTAAAACGTTCAAATGGTGTCATAAATCTAATCGATCTATTTAGACTGCGATTATGTAAATAAGCCGCCGTTTACAATAGGTTCTCCTATAGATACTTAGGCAATCCTAAGTCCTTCCGCATCGATCTTATTTTACTCATTAGCGTTCGATTAAGACGTTCCGCAACGCCGTTTAACTCCGGACTATATAGTACGGTAGGTTCCTAATAGATTCCGGCCTATTTAAGGTAGTTACGTAAGTTAGAGCCTTCGTATTCACCCCCGTTATCAACACGAATAGTAATAACCGGTAGATTAGTATTCATAGCGTTCGCGATATAATACTTTATCTAGGTCGCCGCCTCGGCCTTTATCTTAAGAAAATAGAGAACTACTCGTCTAGAGTAGTCGTCAGTAATAGTCATGATATATCTACTGCTAGTAATCGACGCCGGTATGATTAGTCCTACTAGATCGGTGTAAATCAGCTTATTTAGCCTCGTTACCGATCCGCTCGTTACTCCTCTTCTTAGTATACGAGATTAATTCGCTAGAATGTAATCCTCGTAGAGTTTACTAAATGAATTAGTAAAATCGATGCCTATTATAACCTTCTTAAGTCGATTAAGGTATTTAAGAGATAGGTAGCCCATTCGTCAGTACTATAGTCTCGCCGTCTCGCCGCCTTTTATAGATAAAGCATTAATCGAATCGTCCCGATGAACCTAGACTAGAGGCGAGACGCCATTCTTCATATCGAGAAGGTATCTCCTTCCATCTCTCTAAATGCTCGTAACCCGTCGTTTACCTTTATAAAGGCTAGTATTAATTAGGTCAGGAATCTCTTCGAGAATAGTAACGAATCCTTATTCCTTAAGGGCCCGAATACTCAATAGATTTACGCCGAGGTCTAGAAAATACCAGACGTTATCGAATCGAACTAGTATCGTAACTCCGTCTCGTTCGCAATCGATAATAACATCGCTATAGCCTTCGGACACGATCTCGCTGTAATCTACTAATCGTGCTATCATCTCCTCTTTTCGGTAGTTAATGTAATTCGCTTTTAAATAGGTTATGTAGTAGAAGGCGTCACTATCTAAGAGAAAGCCCTCTTCCTTAGTACTATAGATAGCGACTTCCGAGGTAGTAACGGCGTAGATATAGGCCTGATTAGCCTCTACCCCCCTATCTCTAGGAGAGTCTCGTCTACCGGCTTCATTCCTAATCCTCTCAATGAATTCCGGGATTAATTAGTCGATTATCGAAGCATTTACATTCGCCTTTTCCTTTCCTTTATCCTTCTTACGACTCTATAACTGTTCTTCCCGATCGACACGATCTAGATTAGAAAAACAATGCTTCCATGTATGATCATTAGTCTAGTGTGTCCGGTAAGCTCATTTTCCATCTTTCCCTTTAGATTAGTTATTATTAGCGTTATTCTTCTTACCTTTATTATTACCGGAGCTATTAAATTAACCCTTCGACTATGTCTTAAATACATTAGCTTAATTAGAATGTTCAGATCTAGTTACTTATAATGCCCTCCGCATATTATACTAAAAGATCTTCTTAACGGCGTCGTCAAAGGTTACCTTTCCTCTTAATAAGTTAAGTATCCGAGAGACTACCGTCTCATAATCCTCTCCTAATTCATTTAGGAAGATAGATACCCAGACGTCATTAGTAAAGTCGAGTTTAAGCGCCTCGAAACTTACGCGGTTAGTTCGCAACTTATTAACATACTCTTCGAGTGTTATAAACCGTTTAAGAGAGTAACTATTAAGCAGAACTATCTAATGAAAGACTACCGTAAGACCCTATTACTTATAAGCCTTCTTAAGCTTCGCTAGGACACCCTTTACTATCCTCTCCTAGATAATAAGTGGCTTAATGTAATTACCGCAGAGATTATAGATGATCCCTTATACCTTAGAATTTACTACCTCCCATGCGTTAAACTTCTTAATTTCCGGGATGACCTAATCCTAATAGGCTACCTTAAGTTCTTCTTTCGTAAAGCCCTTCTCAGGTCGCGTTTACTTACGTACCAGGAAGTCGTCCATAAGCTTTCTCTTTAAGTTACTATCCATCTCGTCTAGATGTATAAGCACTAAGCGTATTATTACATTATGACATTCCTACGTCCGTAGTTCCATTTCATATGCCGGTAACTACACTGCGTAGTTAGATTTACCCTGTAAGATTAGGCGATTCTTTCCGCCGTTATTAAACCCCCCCATTGTATAGAATACGCTAACCGAAGCGTAGTTCTAGTGGATCGAATAGGTATTGGCTCGCGGCCGATTATCCCTATTAGCGTGATAGGAGAGTGGAACTTAGGCCGTCGACGGGTCCTGAATCGATAATCGTTCGTTCGATGAAAGGATAGGATAGGTTATTCCTTCAGAACACCTTTTAAACTCGTTTTGGTTGGTTTGGCGCTGTCTCGTAGCCTCCACAGCACGCCCTTACGTCTGTGGCTAAATCCACCGTAAAACCGATGGTTCGTTGTAGACTAGGTTATTACTGGACCATTCCAGTAAAGGACGACCTAGGAATTAAGTCGATGATAAAGAAAACAACGCGCATAAAGCGTGTTAGGCGCTCATAACCTGTAAGTGGAATGAATTGATTGATTAGGTAAGGAAATCTATCTAGCGCGTTTTACAGTTTTATTGTGTGCCGCGGTGGAAATTCTTCGGCTAACCTTCCCAATAGGGTTAGGGCAACAGTATTCTCATTTGACCCTTCTCTTGTATGGGTTCAAAGAGGTCCCCATCTCCCTTGGTCGAAGACTGGTGCTGCCCCTTCTCAAAGCCGCTTGGGCCTCGACACTTTTCTGCTGACTGGCTCGTCTCCGTACAGCTTGCACATTCGGAGATGCCAAATCTATTGAGCGCAAGAGTTTCCGAATGCTGCTGTTCATGCGGGAGTCAACAGTGCTGCTCGCTCCCCTGCCACGGCACCTCGTAGGCGTGGAATCTCTTCTATCCTTGCGGATTTCTATGTACCTGAAGCTTGCATCCGCAGGCGATCGAATCGTGCTCGTGGCGCTCGGTTCGAGATTCGTCCGTCGAGTTTCGCAGGCCGATAGGTCGATCGATCGCAAAGGTCGAGGGGAACGTCTTGCGCTGCTCCGTTCCCTTAGTCAACCACGCAGCTGCGTCGATCGTGGGAGCGTACGACGACCGACCGACATTCGTTTCCGGGCGCTGGAAGGTTCAATAACATCCAGCACCTCGTAAGTTTCATAGATGGGAGATCTTGTCAGCGTAACATATGCACTAATTTGACAGATCAACGACAGAAGAGAACTTACTTGTCAGAGTGAGTGTACATTGTGCCGCACATGGTGCCAATACTGGCCGCCAGACCCAGCCCGACCACCAACCACGGGTTCGTGGCTACGTCTTCGGCCTTGAACAAAACGCCTACAGACTTCACAGGCTCATATGCCGGCGAAGGAAATCTAGGATCAAGGGTCGTGGCAACATGATGGAGGGGCGCAGGTGGGAGAGAGTCTTCGCCAGCGCGATAAAATATTGACTGCCATTCTTATCCTTCCCGCTGTTGGCCACGCTGAGCACACCTGCACCAGTATGCTTCAAGGACGGGGGTCTCATCGGTAAACTTGTCGCCATAGATACTTGAACCACCTCGGCCAGTCCCTGTCGGATCACCCGTTTTGACCATGAAGTTGGGCATTATACGGTGGGAGATGACGTTGTTGTAGTGTCCTCATTGAGCCAAGGTGGAGGAGTTCTTTCGTTCCACGCGCTCTGGGACGAATGCGAGGTGAAGAAGAGCCTAGACTGCTCTCTCTCTTGCTCACACACATATTCCTCCCTGTCCCCTCCTCCTCTGCCTCTGGTGTTTCATGTTATGACCAATAGACCCGGCCGCGAATATATAGGTCGTGTCAGTCCGGTAGATAGGTCGGTCGGTCAGTCAGTCGATGAGTGATAGGTATCCTTCGAGCCTGCGAGCTAGATAGTTAGCTATGGTATCGCTTGCTTCTCGATCTTTTCAGCGGACGATACGTTGAACGCTGCTTCTCTTTTTACCCACGTATATGGCCTTGTCGATTGCTGTGCTCTTTGGCCTCCACAACACCAGACTTGACAGTCTCACCATAAAGCGGGAACACACGGTCTCGGGCCATGTGGAAGAGTTCAAAGTCCTCAAATAGAACGCTTAGCGAGGCGGCATCCTCGATCGCGTTGATGGCCCTGAAGCCGGAGTCTGAGAGCAGTAGAAGGCGTCGCTGATCAGGACGAGCTCGACCACACTATGTCCTCCGAGTCCGGTCTTCAGAGAGTGGATGAAGAGGTTGAAGATCGCGAGCCGGCTCGGCAAAGAGTCTTGGGTGGCATGGATGGGAGCAGGCGGAATTCCGGTCTCGACAACCTCGCGGGGTTGACCAGGTTAAATGGTGGTGAAGAAGGCGGAAAGGGAGAGTGTTTCGGACATTGTAGCTGCCATCTCTTCTCCCCGTTTCGACAGATCTCCAGAATATGTGCGTTGTTATAGTGGCGAGACGGTAAAAGGGGGCTATATCGGACCGCGATAGCCTGCGAAAACAACGTTGGGCGGCTGTAGAAAACGGTGAGTTCTCACTCAGCCTTTCAAGGTTTGCCGAACTGGCACTTAGGTGGGGTGCTGCGTTCTGCACGCCGCTATAGGAGTAGGGTGGTATTGTCGGTCGCGTCGTACAGACAGAATAGCGTTGTGTAGAGGAAACAGATTGGTGGGCTCGTGTATGAGGAGAAGAGGACCCAGCCATCCCAATCAGCCTTCTCACAAGCCCTCTAGCATAGTATTTTGTACCTTCTTGTGTATGAGTTCGAGGAGGAACCTGAACCGTCTCTAGTCGGAGTTGGTCGTAGGTAGGACAGGAGGCGAGGCACTTGTCTTCCGCCAAACGATACTAGGTTTCACTTCATCAAGCCGCGTCTGTGCGGTCGGTTTGGCCTGTTCAAGCTCGCTAGACGGTCTGATACTCTCCCCTTCGAGACCTTCAACTTTCTTCTCGAGCCCTTTCTTAGCTGCGTCAGCAGTTTCGATAGCCTCAGCCAACCTGGCCTTCTCTGCCTCAAGATAGGAAATCTCGCCCTTGGGAGTGCCTTTCTTTCGATAACAGAGCATGTTCGAGGAAAGGTTCTGCAGCCCTATAATAAGAACAGTTAACAATGTGTTACTCCGGCCTACGCTCCATCCAAAAATCTTTGACATGTCTCACTGTGAAGTGGTCACCCATTCAAAGGATTGATCGATGCGTATACACAGCCTTTCTCCAGCATGACGTGGTAGCGTACCAATCACAGAGGGTACCGCTGTGACGGGGTTGGTATAGCCGTGTATCAATTGAAGAGGAACTTATCTTTCTCAGTCGGAATTGATCATCGATCGAGCGTGTGACGGACGGAGGTCGAGGCCTTCTTTCTATGGAAGATAGTTGGCATGCACCATTCAACAGTTATTCGGCTTTGAACCCATCTTTGATGAATCCCGCAGTCAAGTAGTTGTACCCGTTGGGAGGACCATCTGTATGAACAAAGCCTCTTCCTGGCAAGATATAGTAGCGCAGAGTATGCAGATCGATATTGGCCTCGGCGGTGAAGACTGATGCCAGAAGGATGTATGGATTTTGAAGAGGAACTGCTCTGTCTCGATTGAAGTTTGATCGTCGCAGCAGGGTCGGGGTCCTGCTTAAACGAAAGGTCATACATCCATGGAGCTCTGTAATGCCAGTTAGCATGTGCCAATTCCACCAGATCTCACGCGTGCAGGGAACCAGTCACCTACTCGGTAGGATTGTATGTATGTGAACACACACAGCCTTTTCCTCGTAGGATGTTGCAGGGTATAGCAAAGAGATCGACCTGGGCTTTGGCAGGGAGGAGCGCACTAGAGGCTGGTCGTGAGGCGATATACAGGTATCAATGGGGGATGCCATCGTACAGGCAGAAGGAAATGCAACGGCGTCTGGTGCACCGCAGGATCATTACAAGCAAAGGAAACTGCTTGCGAGCTACGGGGACTGATAGCGGCGTGGTGGTATGGTGAGGCGAGGTAAAAGGAAGCTTCTAAGCTTTGAGTCAGTAGAGAGAAGAAAAAGGATTGGAGCAACAGATAAAAAGGTGGATGTAACAGTCATGGTGGGTCGAATGTCGTCCATTTAGAGTTTGGGGACAAAGAACGGGGTTCCCTGTAACAGACAAAATCTTTGATCCAATTACTTTTCAAGGTCGAGTAGTAGTCGGTTCGGCGGTTCGGCGGTTCGGCTCGAAATCAGGTTTGACCTCTAATTTCTCCATTGTGACTTGTGATGCCAGGATCCTCAACCTCGCTCTTGGGGTATTGAGATTGAACGCCCTATCAGCAAGCAAAGTGGCACCCTCCGTATAACCCATCCACAGCGTGACTGACTGCTTGTTCGTTGCCCTTATCAGCTGGTGTGCCGTGGTCGCCTAATGGATTGTTTGGCCTGATGAGCCGTTGGCCACCAAAGACTGTCAAGTCACAGAACCAGAGGAAGGACCGGTTGGTGGCTGCAAGGCCGGGAATGGCAGAGACGTTATGGGTGACTGGACAGCAGCATGCTATACATGACCATCGATCAACAAGGCCGACGTTGCTGGTGTATGCACAATTTCTAAGAAGCAGAGATGTGTTTATGCTTCATGGCGTATCGCCTGACTACATAAGACATGGTCAGTCCATCACATCAAATCAAGGTTTGTCTCCGATTTGGTCGATGAGAAAACAGATGCCACAAAGCATTTGCAAGGGTCAGAACTGGCCTGCATCCATCCATCCATCCATTCAGAAGGATTCTTGTCGAGTGATGTACCTTGTGCATATGTTTCTGCCATAGTTCGCATCTGGATCGGCATGGGGCAGATCCAGTTGAGATACCGAGGGATTCTGGCCAGGATGAGTATAAATTCGACAACCAAAAGACGTGTGGATGACGAGGTCCACTCTCTTGATGTGTTTTGAGCACAGTTTGTACAATAGAGCCCCATCATGGTGTAGTTCGCGCGAGATGTCTTGCTTAGTAGCATCTTCTGATTCTCTCCCTCCCATACTGAACGGACGCGCTCCTTGATATGTCAGCCCCAGCCCTTGGATCTGCCCCAACGATCCAAAAACCCTCTTCACCGTGCTCTTCTCATAAGTATCGAAGATGGTTCCGCGAGCGTCATCGGCCGGACCCATTGGTAGTAGGGCGCAAACAGGACCCGGTCGCTGATTGCAGTCACGAATGTATCGCTGATGGGCTCTGAACCTCTTGAGCAGCGCTACAAGAAAAGGTGAAATATTGAGACTATAGCGTAGTTTAAGTGTCTAGTTCTCGCGTCGACAACGAGGCACTGAGAGGTAGGTAGGTAGTAGAACAGCAGTCACGGTAGATGTAAATCAAGAGTTTGAAGGCGAAACTGTATTATAAAGGTGACCTTGGAACGCGTCATCCAAATCGCCTAATTCGGATGAATCTAGTAGAGGATCACGTCGCTGAATACACGCTGTGTAGCTTTTCCCTCCCACTGTAGATCAGGGTCGATGCACCCATGATCACCTGGCTGGAAGAAGAGACGGTATAGACGTCGCAGAATTAGGTACAATGTCACTACGTATTGCCCTGATAGCCGGCCGGCCGTTTGCTCGATGGTCTCGCTTCGTTTGAACCGCTGGTTGCATGGTAGATGGCATTGCTGATCATGTTCGAGGCACGGCGTCAATCTCTCAGAGAAGATGACAGACTCAGCGAACCCAATATGGAGTGAGTGACACCTGCCACGAGTTCTCACTTCATTGGACTTGTTCGTCGTTCTTTTGGCATCTTCCAGGGAGCATGTTGCAGGAATTTGACGCATAATTTCCCGGTCTCTAAATCCGTATGGTTGCTCAGCCCGCACGGACAATGTTCCCCCTTGTCGTCCGTAAGTGTCTCGACGGTGATAAGATCGTCCCACCCCCTGTAAGCTGTTGCGTTGTTCAATATGTATTTGGCTTTGACGACAGGTCAATGAGATTTCCACCGTCATTGCGAGCACGAGCACGAGGAATAATAGGCGACGGACGTGATTCAGACCAAGGAGGGCAGCTGCAACCCGTAGTAGCTGCACTAAATCGCTAGTTCTCGACTCACCTTTGTGTGTTTCCTCGTCTGTTCTTTCAACATTGCCAGTCTCCCATAATTTTGAATTTGCGGGTTGATCAGCCTGGGGGCGGTTGAGATGAGAGACTGTGGCGGTAAAAGGTATAGGACCTAAGAATGTGGGATCAAAGTATCAGACCAGTTACCTAACTCGAGGGTGAATATGTGTACTATGGGATCGATAATGATAGAATAACTAGCCTATAGATAGAGATGTCAACGCTTGAAGAAGACTGAAGTTCAAGGTTGACAGGTATGATCTCTCCTGCTATATACATGCGATAAGCCAGCGGCTTGGCTGTCGGCCTGAGCTGAGTGTGCAGTGTCACATGGGTGTTCTTGACACAAAGGCTATATATCGAGGGAGATGGGAACGAAGATGGAGGGAATAAAGGCGAGGACGGAAGACAAGGAGATTGAAGGCGTTTAGATCGAAGGCGAGGAGAGTATTATCGTAGAGACCTTGGAAACCGTTCCGTGACACCACCGAAACTCTGTAGGGTCAGAAGCTTACGAGGTCTGCAACAAAGGAGAGAATCGACAGCTCGCTGTCTGCACTGTGCGTGTTAAACATCCCAAATTGTGGATTTGGAATTGTTGTCTGGCTTGTCTCTCTGTGTGTTCTCAGGAGGCGGTGAAACGCCTCGACCTCGACGCCCATTGAAATACTCCCGGCGAAAGTTTCAGCACGTCTCTCTACACCTCTTTCTTCCGTATAACCCGGGACAGAATCGTCAAGGGCTTCCTGCTCCTGCCTTTTGCATCCTCTTCCGCGACGACTCTTTCTGTTTCTCTGATGTCTCGCTTCTCGTAGACGTCTTCTTGGGCTTTTTGCTTTGGTAGGGGAGAGAGGCAATGTCCACAGGATCTGTTGACCTGGGGGTTTGAAGAGACACCGTGGAACGCTACCATCGAGATGGCAGACACCACGACACCCTTGACGCCACAGTTCCAGTCACCATGACGGTCGATGACTAGGCGCTGACTGATACACCAGGGGGTTGTGGTCACCGGGTCGCACCCATTGCCACATCGTTGCAATGGAAAGGAACAAGCCCGGCCTGTAACACCACGACAACCCGCAATGAGTATCAAGGGGGAGAAGCCACCTCATCTCGTCTTCAGCTTGTGAGCAACCAATCTTCACGACCGCGGCGCACACGGACATGTGTTTCTTAGAAGAAGGGCGAGTAAAACCGTTGGACATGGTCGAGGAGGTGAGAGGTGAAACTTTGGTCTCTGCTCCCTTGTCCGTATAGAGCGTGAGACGGTACGGATCGTTCCATGACACTGTGATTTTGACACGGATCCTTTCTGGTTGTTGCCATCTGTTCGATCGAGCCGTCATCGTCGCGTCCCAAACTGCCATTTTGTCAAGCCATTGACTTTGCTTGGTTGGTTGCTGCTGCACTTGATGAACGGCTGCGATGCACAGCTGCTCAGCTCTCTGCCAGTCTTGTTCCCAAAAAGGACGGTTGCAGCTGTAGGTGGTTGCGTGCGTGGGATGGAGCATTTCTGATCCATCCCGTCCCGTCCCTTTCTCTTCAGTTGGGCTCAACAACATGAGGCGTTCGAAGAGCAGATCAGCCACAGCTGAAGCCGCAGGGAATGAGGCGGGTCATTGATCAGTCAATTCTGGCTTGAACATGAAAGCGGCGAAGAGCCGGCGCCTGACCGGTGCAATGCGTTGGAGGTACTCGGCAAACGTCTCGGGGATGGGAAGAGTACATGCACCCTGACGGAGGAGGGATCTGATCGACCCTTGCGTTGAGGAAGGGGGGGGACAGCAAGGCTCCACGGTTGTGCGGAATGTGCGGTGTGGTGCACCGTACTGCAGGGGTGTTGGCATTAGTCCGATATGTGGACCCCTGACGCTGCTTTTATGCCGCGCTTATTGGCGCCTTGGCGAGTGTAACGCTATAATTATTAGCGTCTTGGCTAGCGGCACAGATAATTGCCAAGCGCCTTGGCCGAATGTATCGTACGGTTCCAAAGACTAGCGTGAACGGTCATTACATTACCTTGGCGCTCAACCTGAATTGGCAACGCGGCAACTCCCCGATACGAGATGCTGACACACGTGACGGCAGGTGCGGGGAAGCCACAGGATATAAACCCCTTGACCCCCTCACAAGCTTTTGAGGAGGGGAGTGTTCTCTTGTCCTCGTACAAGTCGAGTCGTTGTCAACAGCAACACTTCTTCGACCGGCAGTTCCCACTGGGTGGCGCAGGTCCTGACACAACATCTGCGGTCAGCAACAACATCAATATCAACGTCACCGGCACCACCACCTTCAACTGAACCACGTACTCCGTACTCCGCCGCCCCCTTCGACCATGGCGTCGGAACACAAGAAATACAGGATCGCCTCGATCCCCGGCGATGGCATCGGGCCCGAGGTCATCTCGGCGGGAATCGCGGTGCTGGAAACGCTCTCGAAGGCCTTCTCGCACCTGTTCACGTTCGAATTCACCCCTTTCGACTGGTCGAGCGACAAGTACCTCAAAGAGGGGCGGTACGTGCCCGAAAACGGCCTCGAAGAGCTGCGCACGTACGACGCCATCCTTTTCGGCGCCGTCGGCGACCGCAGAGTCCCCGACCACATCTCACTGTGGGGGCTGAGGCTCGCCATCTGCCAGCCCCTGCAGCAATTTGCCAACGTGCGGCCGACGCGGATCCTGCGCGGCGTCACCTCGCCCTTGTCGGCGTGTCAGGGGACTCTGGAGAATACCAAAAAGCTGGATTGGGTGATTGTAAGGGGTTTTCTCTCTATTGTTCTCGTTTCTCCCTTTTCTTCTACCACGGAGGTCTGAACCTTGCTTCTTCTTCCCGCCGTTTCGATCGCCACCAGCTGGCTTTCCCTTTTTACCACAAACAAGTGCCTTTCTCAGTGCGTGCCTGCCACTCTTTGACACTGACACACATCCTTGAATGAGCATAGATCCGGGAGAACAGTGAGGGCGAGTACGCCGGGCACGGAGGGCGGTCGCACGTGAACCAGGCGTGGGAAGTGGGCACCGAAGTGAGCGTCTTCACGCGGCACGGGTGCGAGCGGCTCCTGCGATTCGCGTACGAGACGGCGCGGTCGCGGCCCCGCAAGACGCTCACGTTCGTGACAAAGTCCAACGCGCAGCGCAACGGGATGGTGCTGTGGGACGAGGTCAACGAGGCCGTGGCGCGCGACTTCCCGGACGTGCGCAGCGACAAGATGCTCGTCGACGCCATGACGTGCCGCATGGTGCTGCAGCCCGAGAGCATCGACGTCGTCGTGGCCACCAACCTGCACGCCGACATCCTGTCGGACCTGGCGGCCTCGCTGGCCGGGTCCATCGGCATCGCCCCGACCAGCAACCTGGACCCGACCCGCAAGAACCCCAGCATGTTCGAGCCCATCCACGGGTCCGCGTGGGACATTGCGGGCCAGGGCGTCGCCAACCCCATCGGCACCTTTTGGACCTGCGCCGAGATGGTGCGCTGGCTGGGCCAGCCGGCCGCCGCCGACGTGCTGATGACCGCCATTGAGCGCACCTTGGACGCGGGCGTCAAGACCCGCGACCTGGGCGGCAATGCCGGCACCGCACAAGTCACGGACAGGGTGTGTGCCGACATCCTCGAAGTCGTCCGCGAGCAAGCCGTCGTTAACGGCGGGAAATGATCCCAAGCAGGACGTCGAAATCAAAGACACCTTCAACGCTGGCTGGGTGGGTTCACAAGTCACCCCTTTACACGATCCCTTTCCATATCCTATGCGTGGTTAGCGTGCCATTCAAGAGTCAAAGCCCCAAGAGACCCCCTTTCTCCCTCCCCAACCCCTTCGCATCATTCCATCCCGTACCCAGTCACAATATACAGAATATAGAGCAAGCAAGCACGTCGAGAATGAAAAAGTCCCCTCTCACAAAACCTCAAAGCTGTCATAACGTCGACCGTCTGGGACTCAAGACACTCCACCTCCATCAGGCATCCTGGGCTTGCCCGTCGTCCTTGGGTATCGGGATTGGAAGCTGTCGAGAACTTTTCGGTTCCTTCGCCTCCGCGCCTCTCGCGAATCACGACAGACAGACAGAGACAGCTTTCATTGTCCGGGCCGCCTTTTCTTTTAATCCCTTCTTTCTCGTCTCCCCCCCCCCCTCCCCCACGGCCCCCTCTGAAGTCCCATCTAACACTCCCGGTCGAAGACGAGCAGTGCGGCGCAGACGGGTCTCATTGTGATTCCTTGCATACACACCCACACACCATTTACCATTTCCAGATCTTCCGTGTTTTTCTTTCCCCCCCAATCATTTCTGCAGCAGCGTTGGTTTGTCCATGAGAGAGAGCTGTTCCTCGCGCCGTCAATCAATCGCATGAGCTCAAGTAAGTCTTCCTACTGAGCCCTCGAAAGAGAAAAACACGCAGCAAAAAGGGTGAGTGGGGAGATGGGCACAAGGGGGCATTCATTCTCGTTCGGAACGACAACGACAACGAGAACGATCGACAGCGAGGTCGGTCAGTGATCAGCGATCAGGTCGATTGGGCAAGACTGCCAACGCAGGGCTGCAATTGGTGGATGGACAGATCCGCCTGTTGGTGGTGAAGACAGGCGATATGAATCACTGAGCGCCGAGTGCAGTTTGTGACAGGCAAGGCGAAAAATGCGTGTGTGAGCGACATAGACTCAATGGGGGTATCGAAGCAATCAACGAGGGAATTCCGTCACTCTATTCCGTGCCCTCGCTGACCTCGAATCCCTCGCCAGAACAAGTCAGCCACACCCCGAAAGACACCGCCCAAGCAACCGCAATTAGACCTTTATTTTGCGCCTGGTCAAGTGGCAAACATGGGGAGAAGTTTGGATCAATCGCCCGAAGCAGCAGGTGAGTAATGATATGCGTGAATATAGCAACTCGGTGCGGGACCCGTTGGGCCCGTAGCCGTTCCACGCCGTCGTCGTCTAATGAATGGGCCATGACGGCTCCGCCTTGTCGTCGTTTGCCTGGACGGGCGTGGACAAGAGGTGGTCGAGGTTCGCAGCGGCTGATAAATGCGAACCGGCGGCTTTAACGTCTACATCGTTTGCAAAGTACAAGTTCATGCGAGAGGGCTTCGCTGAGATGAGGACACCACTGAGGTTGATTTGAGGCCTTGAGCCGGCCAACAGTTTGCCGAGCTCTGGGGCCGCGAAGTAATGAGGTCGTCACTTCAAGACTCCCTGAGAGCGACAGTACGCCAGCACCCGATGCGGTGGGAGGCTCGCCACCCCCTCGCCGGCGCGACGCCCTTGTTTCGATTCCAGTCTTGTTCCGTGTACGTCTGCTCTGGGCCGGGATCCCTTGAAGGGATTCACAATCGTCGGCCAGAGACCTCTTCACCAGTTTCGTTGATGGAGACCTGGCGGGCAAGGAGATCTCTCGCCCACGCAGCTTCGGTATGCCGGAGGCGGAGCGATGGTAGAAGGAAAAGCAGAATCGTGTGTCAGTTGCTCTAATCCAGGAGTGTCGATTGTTGTCCTGCGGACCTTGTTCAGACTCTGTGATGTATTGGATCAGGGACATCCAGTCCACATCCACAACATCGATCTCTGTCTATTTATTCGACTTGGAAACAGCCTCTTGAATCGGAAATGGGGTGACCTTGTCGGGTAATGCGTAGTTTATCCCATTCAGTCATCCCATCCCGACAGACCTTTCACTTCAGGCAGTCTCTTGTTGCCTTCGACCTCGAATTCGCTATCGAGCCGGTTGATGGCCGGAAGGACTTGATGTCTGAACACTGAATCATTGCCTGCGCGTGAAATAACCAGTCTGCGCGGCATATCGCATGCTTGGAGGCCTTGGTAGAGTAGCCCTGGTATTCTCATCGGTCTCGTGGAAGAGCAGTAACAGCGTCCGATACTCATCCCTTCTGGTTCGTGAGAGCTGGGCTCGTGGAGGTAGCTGAGGTCCCTCCCAGTCCGAAGAGGGAGACAGCCTTCTTTAATGTGAAAGGGGATGGGGATGGGGAACGAGAAGTAACATCCACATCGTCCTCCTCCACCAGGCGTATGAGTGATGAACAGGCAGATCCTCATACAAGGGATTGCCAATCGTAGTCGGATCGAGTTAGATATGGCCACTGAGGCATAAACTCCATGGCTGTCGATGCAATGGTCATGTTGATGTCCATGCCAACCCTTCGCGCTTTTTGATTCGATCAGATTCCCAAATAGCACCCAATGGCCAGAGAGAATGTTGGATCCAGGGTGAATGCATCCGAATTCCAGGTGCCATTGTTGATGTAAGCCGAGTATTGCGGTTGGAATGTGCGTTTCCACCTTTGATGGCTTTGCTCAAAGGCAGAACCTCGTGCCCGGTCACGGCTGCCACGTCCAAATGTAACCAACCCGCTCGATCTGACGCCTGTTCCGCCATTTTATTGGTCTTGGGAAATGGCTTTGATAGTCTACCACCGTGGCGCGGCGGTGGTCGAGCAGTTTCAACAGGTTGAGCAGATACAATTGCCTCGTTCTGGGGTGCCAGAAAAGCATGGTCTCGCTCCACTCGCGGTAGTGACTGACGTACAGATCTCTCCCTCACAGAACCAGTGCCATCGACCAGTGGTGCATCCTGGGCTTGTCGATATTCGGGGCCGTAATCCCAATAGACCGATGGCAAATGCATGACCAAGCATGGCACAGTGCTTGGTTATATCAGCAAAGTTGCCCTGTCTTCTCTTCGGCACATCCACGTAAACGCGAGCTGCGACGATTCTCAAATGTCTCCAATCGGGTCGTTCTTCATCGGATCGCTCAAACGTGTTGTCCAGCCCATGAACGGATGAGGACGTCGATTGTGCAAACATGCAGCGGTTTCCAACAAGTTCTCCTATGGGAACTCTGGTAAGCCTGAAGCTTTCGGCATTGACCTCATCTTGCTCTTAAGCATTCGATTGACACGAGTCCTCGTAGGGTTTGCTGAATGAATCTGTGACATCAACTCCATTTGCCACCTGTTTGAGTCCATTGAGATGGTTGAGAGATAGACGGCCTGATTGTCCATGCCACCGCTTGGATCCTTCACCACCCTTAACCGACAACCTCGTGATTGAGTCTCCGCGATTTATATCAGCGAGTGAGGGACATTGTCTGTTGCCAAGTCGATAACGTCTACTTTGCTTTGAACACTTGTTACTCTCCGATTGCGCTCGTCGACCGGCGTGAGGAAGACCAGGAATTGACTGCCTCGAGGATAGCAACCATCTCTTGCCCCTTGAGCGGGTCGACTTTTCAATAGATCAAAGCTCAATTCTGACAATCACCGTGCGCTGTCGAATCGAATGGGAAGCTGAGACACCATAGAAGGCGGCAATCAATGATACCGTCGCCACGGTACCGGCGTGTCATCGCCGGCGCCTCTGTCCGACGAAGAGGCCGCCAACATCAAATTCCTCTTCGACGACTGGAGCGACCTTCACGGCGAGGGCAGACTGATCCTCCGGCCGAACCGGTTCTGGACCCACGCGGGCAGCTTCTGGCGCATGCTGCACGTGGCGCCGAGTTTGGTCGAGGATCTCAAGGAGAGCGAACTGGTGATTTTCAAGGGAGATTTGAATTACAGAAAGTTGACTGGAGATGTATGTTCCCCCTTTCCCCCTTTCTCACCTTCAATTGTAACCCTTTACCCCCTACACCCCTATTTCCCGCTTGGGACCTTACTCACAGAACCACCCAATCCCTCCCTCCTTTTTACTACTTGCCCACGCACGGCGCAGAGTCTCAAAGAGAGCACCTCGTAAACTAACGTAAAACGTCGACGACGCTACAGGCTGCCTGGCCCGCCACCACGCCCTTCACAGAAGCCATCGGCCCACTCGGTCCGTCGTCGGGCCTCAGAGTGCTCGCGCTGCGGACATGCAAGGCCGACGTCGTGGTCGGGTTGCCTGAAGGCAAGGACGAAGAGATCCGCGCGACCGAGGGCGGCGGCGGCGACACCGGGGCAAGGAAGTGGGCGTGGAGTGGGAAGTGGGCCGTCGTGCAGTTCTCTGATGGCAAGGTTTGATGATTTAATTGAGCAAGAGCAGACTGGGGTAAAGGGAAGAAGCATCAACGCTTTTCTTTTTGCAGCTGGCTCTTTTTTCCCCTTCTTTCTCTGAGAGTATGAGCGATCTTTGGGGAACTAGAGTAGTAGAGAAGCCACGTGCATGGGGCTGGACTTTTTTGGGTAGAGTCTGGAGGAAAAAGAAATAGATGGACGCATGGATAGAGCACAGAACATTGTCACGACCTAACAAAACAAACGATATCACTGTGGATTCACTTCCTACCTCAAGAGAAGTAGTCGCGGTATTCGACAGTCTTTGCTAGAAGGAGCTCCCATATGCATCTTACTGCTTCCGGCGGAGCCATTTCCGTGGGCCTTTCTATCTGTTCTCAGCTGAGCGATGGTCCAGGTGTGTACGCAGTAGATGGAAACCGAATCTCTCGGGCGTCGGTGGATTTGGTGGGCCGTAGGCCTGAATATATGGAAAGAAAGGGGCCAATGTCTCTTTTTCAGCCTTATTCGGACAAGGCTGGAAACTTGGATGTAAGGCTGTGGGATTGTCTCACGTTCCAGCCACTTGGGCCTAATTCTTAGTTCCCCGTTGAAATGATGAGCAACTCGATCGTGCATGTGGCACGCGTTCACCATGAAAGCCTTGATGGCACGACAAGCATGTTGGCCTTTCGGTTCCGCCGTCGACTCCTTTATGCTTGTGCCGTCCTCAAGCTAGAACCAACAAAACCACGCAAGGACCATGCCGTTTCAGAGATGGGAGTTGCTCAATACTCACGCACCGTCCTCTCCCAACAAGCACAAACTAACACCCCTTACCACATTCATCGATGAACCCGAGACCCAGATAGCCGGACACGGCCGGGTAAATTTTAGAGGTGGTGGATCAATCAGTCAGCGAGGCAGTGCAAAATGGACTTACACATCTCTGTCGAGTCGACCTCCTTTTGTGACATCATGGTGTTGTTCAGGCAAACCAGCCCGCAGCAGAAGGGGGATTTTGCAATGCTGATGCCTGAAAAGCTTCGAGTAATCAAGCAAATGAGAACGAGATTGAGATTACCTAGGTACTATGATGACTCCCGCTCCGAGCCGCCGGAGGGCATTTCATGCCAAGTATGCACAAAGATGACCCCGGCACGGACTCGGTGTCTGTCCTTGTCCTTATGAAGTGCGGTGGAAAGAGCCTGACACCGACGGTCGTCGAGGAGAAAAATCGTCTCCGTGCCGAACTGTGAGATGTGAGATGTGAGATGAGATCGTGGAAGATGGGGCGAAGATATACATACAGGACAAGAAGCTAGAGCTTGTACGAGAGTAAGAAGCTGTGACCAGACTGTGCAGTGGAATTGGTATACATGGTGCAAAATGGATCGGTGCATGCTACGATGTGGTTGGTATAGAGATATGTCCATGCTGGGAGTACCTTCCCTGACCCGTGCAGTTGCCAGTACTTGCTAAGAGGGGCACTGGGTGTAAAGTGATGACCAGGGGACGAAATTACCTAACGAGGCCAAGGAGGCTAAGAAGAATAGGCTTACCTACCCTCCAAAGCCTACCTAGAGTCCAGACTCCAGAGCACCGAATTTCCAGGTGCCACGAGCGCCTCCCCGCCGCCTATTGCATTCCTTAGCGTGCCTAGCTAATCACCCTCCCGCTCACCCACCTAACTACTCGTAACTAACCGTACTCGTAGCCGTGAATCCATGCTCACGCCACGGGGAACCCCCCCTGTGCCATCCACTCACAAGGGGCCCCCTCTTTTATCTAGCGATCCTAAAGCTACCTTTCCACCTTGTACCTACGAGGTACTCATACCTAAACTTTACTGGTAAACCACCCCCACTCCCCTCCCCCTTTCGCATCTACTCAGCGCGTTAATTCTTCTTATTGCTTGTAAGGCGCCACAGCCCGCCAAACAAAGGCGCGATCGTTGGCGTCACTTGCACAGAAATCTTTCAATCCAACGGGGCTCTTCTTCGCTCCTTCGCACCTCACGACACCGAAATCTCCCCCTTGAACTTCTAGAGAAATTCCTTTTCGCTCGCTTCTTCACTCGCTTTGCCTCTATCCAATACCTCCTGCACCCTTGACAACCACGCCTCTGCTCCCTCTCTCGCCCTAGCCCTTTTTCTCACTCAGCGTCATGCGTCGCTGAGTTTTGGGCCGAGCCTCCTTTTTTTCGCCCACCGCCAACTTCGCCCTTCACCCTTACCCTCGTTTACCATTCGCCGCGCTCGCTCCTCATCACCTACCACGACCTTTTCCAATAGAGACCCTTGTCCTCATTGGATCAACTGTTACCTCCCCTCGGGGCTTTCAGACTCTCCGTTAAACTCACCCGCCCGAAGAAACACTCGGAACTTCATATATCCTCGACCACCGCAAGTCGCGATCCTCAATCCCCTTTGACTGTCCTGCTCGAACCTCATGCCGATGCCTCTTCTTGCCTTTACCATGCCTGTCACCGACTATGCCAAAGTCGCAAAGGAGGGTAAGAGATCGCAGATGTCGTCCTTCTTGCACTGGGTGCAGTTGAAGAAATACCAATATGAAGTCACTTTCTCGCTCTACATGCTCACACCGACGGAAAAGTGCATTTTCAGTATGTTTCCTACCTCTCCTTCTCTCCGTTTGCTCGCTCAGGTCTCTGACTTGATTTTGTCCAGATTTGATCCTGTTCCTGCTGGTCTCGCTACTCGTGACGGCTGCAACGCTCTACCTCCCAAACCACCTCGTCATCATTTACCACCGTATCTGCTACTATATTTCCGGTGAATTCGCCTACAAGTCGTCAACAAACCTGTCACAGGAAGCAGCTGCTCTCACGGCAGATGGCTTGCGCGTTGCTTCAGGAGCCATAGAGTCGGTGGTGACTCCAACCTTGCGTGCGGTGGAAGCAGCCCGGGAAACCTTGAGGGAACTTTGATTCTTTGATGATACCCCCTATGTGCTTTAATTGGAGCAGTACACGTGGTAATGGCGTTCAGGACCGGGTACTCAGAAGAGAAAATTTGTAATGTACGCGGCGCATCGCTGCCAGATATTGTCATTAACGGGAAACAATCTTGATATGGCGTCCACGCGCTGATTGTTCCAGACATGCGGTCGCGAGCGCCCTGGATTTTGTTCGAACTTTTGTGAAGCGTGTTTTAGATTGAGTGGACTGCTTCCAAGCATTGATACAGATACAGACTTTTAATCAACCGGAACACCATTGCCTTGTATAGTTGTCCTGCCAGTCTTTCAAGATGGCCATAATTCCGCCGCCAACTGGTCAATAATGTGTATGTACCTCGCTCGAACTTTTTGGTCTCGTGGGAGGATAACCAACGCAAGCCGTATAGATGTAGTTATTGTACAAGGGAACAGTTCCCCATGCATGAGGTATCCCATGAATGACGGAAGCGAGGGAGGCAGGGCCCCTTTCTCCCTCTCTGACTCTCCCCCCTTCCCCGGGGGTGTTGCGCCGGCGCCATGCATGTAATCGTTGTAGAATGCGGAATGGAGCTGTAGAGACCCTGTGCAGGCTGGCTTCTGCTTCTTCTGGCTGTAGCTGATGGCTGCTGCGACAGGACGGGACAGGACATCGAAGCGAAGCGAGGCGAAGACCAAGATATTTCAGAACGACCATCTCTTGCTCTTTATGCTCGTCGTCAAGTCGCTTGACGCAGTTCGCCTCACTCTGATTCCCGGCACTGCCCCTCTGTCTGGTCCGGCAAAAAGTCATCTTGGCCCTGCTACTCTCCAGCGGCCTCTTTAAGCTATTGTTGCTGCGACGACTCCTGGCTCTGGCTCTGACCCTGGCCCTGGCCCTGGTTTTGATCGCTCTGGCGCATTTGCCGCAGCCGCTCTCGATGCCTTTCAATCTCCGCGCGGATCTCGTCCTTGTCGTAGGGGATCTTGTGCGACTGGTCCTGCGTGGGCCAGAAGCCCGGCACGGCGAAGCGGTTCTCCAGGTTCGTGCCAAAGTAGTACATGTACCCGATGGGGAAGGAGAGGTAGAGTCCAAACTGTCACGGACACACACGCACACACACATACGTACGTTAGCGACGCGGGGATTATTGGTAAGATTGGTATGAGTGATAAAACATGAAGAGGAACAAGATTCAGATGTGGACGGGTAAGGGTGGGAATGTACTTGATGGATCCTAGGTAGTGATAGGGTAGGATGGAGTAGGGTATAATAGGGTATGGTATGGTATGGCACGGGGAACAAAATACCTTGAAGATTTCCAGATTCGTCCCGCGCAGCGTGCGCTCGAGGAATTTGCGAACCGTCGCCATCGTCACACCTGCTACAAAAGGTTCGTAGGCATGCAGGTTTTTTTGGTTTTTATTTCTCGCTCTTCTCCCGGAACCGGTGTGTATGTGTTTGCGTGCGTGTGGTATGTGCCGGAGTCAATGAATGCACCTGGTTGAGGAAATCGTTGCGGCGGCGGAGGACAGAGGAGGACGAAGATGGAGTGAGGGAGAGGGAGGGAGGGAGGAGGTAGGTAGGATGAGAGTAGTAATTAGTCAGTGGCTGATTGACCGATTCAGTGAGAGTGTGGCAGCTCAAGGTGGAGGAGGAGGGCGAGTGGCATGACCATGCTCAATAACTGTCCCCAGTTTTTGGCCGAAGCTTTCATTCGCGCAGCCTCGTGGTCGTCCGCATGTGAAGTGGAGTGCGAGCCTTGCGCTTGGTGATTGGATGCTCGCTTGATGACAGCCTTGTCCGTACGAGTTACACTTCAAAGTCCCTTCTATTGTGAAGGTAGACTGCCTTCTAAATACCCTGATGGATATGCTCCACTGTACACAAGTAGTCTAAATGTAGCTATCATACAGTCTGCTCTCTCTCTTTCTCTCTATCCTCCCTCTTCTTCGCCCTCCATTTCATTCCAACCCTCATCGTCACCATCAGGAGCGGCAGTGTGGCCAACTCGACCAACCCAACAAGCGTGTGAGTCCACCCGTTCCCAATCGCCTCAATCATCGGATTAGCAACAGCGCTCGCCCCTGCACCCAAAAGGCACCGGACAAGATTCGACGCTGCGCTGGCCGTTGCTGCTCGTTTCCGGTGCAAGTCAATGATCAACACGCTGATTGTGTTGAACCCGACCATCGTGGTGTATCCTATGGCGCCGAGCATGATAATCGGTCCTGCAATGTGGACTCGCTTCTCCAAAAGCCATCCGTAGACGACGATAAAGACCGCTCCAAAGGCAAAAAAGGGCATTCCGATCTCAAGTCTGGCCTGCTCGATCGGCATCTTGATCAAGTCGCCCTGTTTCTTGCGGTCAACCTCCAATCCGGCCTTGAGCGCGTGTCTCTTGAAGTTTCTATCGAGGAGCCTCGTGTTGGTTATCGTCGCCAAGATCGTGCCCACCACCTGCGGGATAAAGAGCAGTCCTTGCAGAGTGCTGCTCAGCCCGTAGATGATGTGAAACTGGACAGTGAGACTGGTCGAGACGATATAGAAACCGGCATAGATAATACCCATGTACAAGAGCAAGATCGCAGTCTCCGGATCACCGACAATAGTGAGAGAGCCAAAGACATCCCATTTTCGTCGTCGCGAACTGGGCTTCTCCTTCTCAGGTTTGTCTTCGGGAGGAGTGCCTTTCTCGGATCCGCTTTCTCCCTCCGATTTCTTCTGCTGTTTCGACAAATTCGTCAGGCATCTGTTCCACTTTGGCGGTTCAATCGAGCCATCTCCAACCACCGATCTGCAGGTCTCTGGAAAGAAGAGCGCCAGTGGCACGAAATACACCCCACCTAGGATCAGCAAGAACCAGAAGACTGAATGCCATCCCAGATGCTGAGCCAGTACACCGCCGAGAATGGGCGCCAGACTCGGTGCTAATATGCTCGCCAGGCTGGTAATAGCAATATATTTGCCTCGCTCTGCGCTGGTGACAATGTCTGCCATGGTGCCCTGCATCAGGGTCACGAGGCCGGAACTCCCAGCACTTTGAACACATCTCAGAACCAGGAGGCCTGCGTAGGATTTGTTCAGGGCCAGGCCGAGGTTGGCAAAGAGGTAAATGGTGAATCCGATCATGTATGCTGGTCGGCGACCATAGTCGTCCGCTATGGCCGAAGTGAAGGATGGCGAGATGCCTTGGAAGATCATGTATGTGGTAATGGTCAAATTGACATCGGAGACGCTCACACCCAGGGCGTGGCTGATGGTATCGATGGCAGGAAAGTAGATAAAAGTGCTGAACGGGCTGAAGCTTCCTCCGAGGGTGGCCACCAGGACAATGATGGCCTTTTGTCGACTTGTGAACGATGAATACGGTCTGTCATTTGTTGGGATCCGTTCGACGCTTGTGGTAACTTCAGACTGAGACTCGAGTTGTTTGTTTGGCACCACAACGTCTATTTGAACGGCATCAGAGTCAATGTGTTGGACATCCTGTGCTGTCGCGTGCAAGGACGTCTCGCTCTTGCGCGTATGTCCGTCAGACTCGTCATGGGATGTCATCCTGTCGAAGAGTTTCTCTTCGATTTTGTCTCCCCCTTTACCCAGGACAATGTTCGGTATACATGCCGCAATCACCCGACAAAAGCCAAGGAGATCTTGTCAGAGGCGTCTCTGTGTGAGACCAACATGTTATCATATAGGTTCACCAGGAAAAAAGGCGGTCACGGATCAGTCTCTGCTAAAATTAGTCTTCATTCACAATGACGATCGTCGTTTGTTATTGGCTGTAACCAGATGGTGGAGTGCTTCTCATGACCGGTAACGGCCCGATATCCGGTCACTCGGGCCTAACATGAATGGCCGAACCATGTTGTAAGCGTCTCAGAGCTGACGGCAGGTAGTCTTCGGTCATGGTCAAAGTATCGAGTCTCGTGTCGGACGGGCGGTTCATGCAGTCTAAACATGGTTGCAGCAATTGAGAAAGATACCGGCGTCAAAGCAGGCTCGTTTCTTCGTCATTATTATTTCGGCGTGAACCTCGCCACGATCCAGTTCAAATCATTCTCATGCGGACGCGGCCATTTCGCATAGTAGTACCACTTCTGCTCGTCCCTGTCCCACTTACGGTGTGGCACAAATGCCCCAACGGTGTAATAATTATCGCGCATATAAAGTGGTTGGTAGCTGGGTGGTCCTTTGCGTTCGAGAAACTCATCAGTCCCCGCGGCGGCTTCTGCATCAGTGAGCTGATACAGGCGAGGCTCAGATCTTCGCGTCTTGTCTCTTTTCATTTCCCATTTGCCAAAACGGATTATCGTGCGGATAGTTGTGTCGAGGTGGATTTGCAGGATCCGTGCATAGGTGAGCGGGCTTCTCGTCGCCTTCGTGACAATTGCAGCATGTCGATCCAGAAGTTTCACATTCCAATCTGGATTGCGTCCTGGCGGGATTATTGGTAAAGGTTCGCGGTTTTCCAAGTTCTTCTGCCAATGAGCAAGGTCGAGGACAATGTTGAGATTGTTCCAGGAGAGGACGCAACTCATACACGTGCACACACTCGAGGGATCGATCTGTTTGATGTGTTGATATTGAATCTTGTGGATTCGACCCCGGCCCTGCCGTTGCTCATTCAAAAGCGCTGGTCGAGCTACAGGAGGAACTTGATCGAGTGACACAGGTGGCGGAAAGCACTGCCTAAGGACCCAATAGTGACGGTTCATGATGTCATCAGCAATTGCTCGCTCGTTATCTGAAATAAACATGCGCATGGACTGGTTGAGGCGAAGTAAATTGAAAATATCAGAAGGTTGGAGGAAGCTCAGTATCATCGACAGTAACTCTTGTGGGAGATCTAGGAACGACTGAACCTCGGACCGCACTTTCCGGGCTTGCTTCTTTTGCTGTCGTCTTTGAAGTCGGGCTGTCTTCTTGGAATGTAGTGCCAGGGCAGCCGTGGTGTCGATCAGAGGGTCGTTCTCGGTACTGGCTTTCTGTCGCCTGTATGCCACGTTGTTCACATAGTGTATGGGCACCTCATCGGACTGAGGGTCTGTCTTGGCCTCAGAGGTCGTGGTTTGATTGGATATACTTTCTGTACTCGATGAGATCGATGCGCTATCCACGGCGTCAAAGATTTTAGGCACTTGTGATGCAGCATGGTTGGTGGTTGAAGGTCGCTGCTTAACGAAATGTAATTGGTGAGGCATCAATGCTGCTCTGCCCCGGGAATGTGCCAGTCCAGTACTCGATACCTGCAAGAGTTGAGTAACGTTACGAGGAAGTGGACAGCGTGCGCACAGAAACGTCGAGTCTGATTGGCAAGAAGAAACCTGGAGACGAGATGGACGCGAGGCTGAGGCAGAAGGCGAGGCTGCGAAATGCCAAGAATGACGTCATTATAAATGGTGCAAACATGGGGGTTACTCCCACCTCACTTACCACGTACCGCGTATCTTGAGCTGTTCGCCCTGGAGAACCTGGAAATGACCGTCGCCCCCTCCAACGTCCCCACTGATACCAAGAGTCCTGAGCGATGCCGACATCAGCACCCAGAGACGCATCGGTGACCAGGGGCTGGCTCTAGTCCCCAGGGAAAGACAGGCCTCTGCTTTCTTCATTCGCCGTGAAGAATTGGTTGATTGCGGATATCTGCACATCACCATGGGGGAACTCAGACGGAGACAATGCAGCCCTATTGCGTCGAAAGAGTGGAACATATTGTCCAGGACACACGGCGAAGCTACATGTCTTGTTTTGTAGGAAGGGAACAACGCCAAGTATATCCGAGAATCGTACTCAAACCTGACCTGGGTGCGGCATTGTTTTGAATCTACTAAAGATAAAGTGAAATTGAAAACCCTCAGCACTAACCATTTCTCCTCTGCTCACAAGCTCTCTTCCTCGAGACCTTTCTCCGCCCTCTTCTCACTCTCTATCCTTTCTTCTAAAGAGCTCTATCATCAAAATCACCTCACTAGATACAAGTTTAGCTGGCAGGCTGAGCGCTTCGTCATCCAATCTCTAACACTGCGAGGTAAACACGCTCGATGATGCCCTGATGATGGTTCAACTGACGGATTCTACCGGTACAAAAAAGTCTACTCCAGTGTCTCCCACAATGGAGTTGAGACCGCTTCCTCTCGAGGCTACCTGTATCATGTGTCCACGCCGCGGAACCAAAGTGTGCTCCAACTGCAAAAGACGCCCGCTATTGCTCCAAGAGCACGAAAAGTAGTGCTGAGTTGACGAGCTTAATGCTAATTCTCCTGGTAGACTGCCAAAAGCTTGACTGGAAGAATCATAAAATCATCTGCCCATCCTTCCAGGAACCCAAACCTCAAGTGACAGAAGCGAACGGGCGAATAGAGAGAATTTTCTACGACTTTCTCCCTGAAGTTGGCTTGGTAGATTTTAGGCGGGCACTCGTCTTCCCTGGCGACAAGCAACCACCCAAATTTGTTTGGGTCAAGACCTGGATCGTGCATGGAGGCTCTGAGACATTTGATTCGAAGCCATTCTTTGACCATGCTGGGGAGACTGATTGTATTTACTTGGCACACAACAGCATCCAAGCGCGGGATGCATGTCGTGATGAAAAGGATCTTCTCAGATTCTCTTCTTCAAGGACGATACGTCCAAAGAACCACCGAACCTGGCAGTGCAAGCTTTCACCCGATCAGGAGCCTGCTCAAAATACCTCAAAGGTCCAATAATTCTCATGTGTGGCACTGTTGGCGCTCATGGGCATGACCACTTTCGAGATGTCGATATGCGCGATTCACGAAGTGCCGCAGACTTCTTCAGTTCAGCATACCGTTCAGGATACAGAGACTCGTGTCTTCTGGAGAAACGCTTTGTGACGACGGCGATCGCATGCCCCGAAGACATCACGAGCTATCAGCGTAAAGGAAAGTACCACCAGCAGGTCTTCGATGGCTGCGATTCCGTCTTCCAAGCAGAGAGTAGTGGCATTGCCAACCTTTTGGAAATTCCGATTCTGATCCGGTCCCACGTTCCACCGAAACCAAAACGCAATCAGTACGGCGCTTGGATTCCCCAGGACGACGAGAATGAACCCACAGACGTTGGTCCTGACAGCGTCGATGCACTGTTTCTCCTGCGAGATATTACCTCGACAACCACTGGCCGTCAGGAAACAACAGCTTCGATGCACAGATTTCGAACGAATGATAGAGACTATGCGGGCACGAATGGGTTCGGGTCATCCCCCAAGGCCTCACGGAGGTCGGGCTCCTTTTCTCTGGTCTGCGCTGACGGATTGCCACTTCTTTCCCTCCACGTTGAAGCACTTGTCGGTTACATTCATGACGAAGTCGAGCCGCGCTTGTCACATGCGTTGGCAGGGACTGCTTCTGGTGGTGTCGTTGCTAGTCGAGAAGCTGTACTCAATTCGATCACCCAGGCCGACTTCTCCAGATACTTCGACGCTTTCAAGGCCGCAAAGACACTTCATGATCACAATGTGGCATTCATTCCTTCTCCATACGCCATGTCAAAGGAATTTCTTGCAGACATGGAGCGTCAGGCGGACATTATGTGGGAGGACCAGAAGGCGGCCGGTTTTAAACAAGAGAGTGAGCATGAACCTGTTCAGCAGCCTGGAGTGATTTACCTCTGACCATGAGGGCCTTGTGTCACGGAAGATCAGTATGGGGTAGGTTCATGTCTCACGCGAGCTGGCTGTTCTATGGTGATTGTGGAAACGCAATAAACTTTTTCATGTTCTGCTGGGGTGAACGTTCGGCGTTGCTGTGGAACACAAAGGGATGGAACTCAGGTGGTGAGGTCGAGAGGCACGATATTGCTGCATTCGCAACTTTCGGACATGTCCAAGAATGCACAGAATGTGGAGGCTGATTGGGGAAAAGGACCAGCGAGGAAAGACGTTGGGATACACTTGTCACCATCCCTTTTGAGGGCCCTTACCTCGAAGGGCTGGTTTGAGAATATGAGAGGGTGGACATTGTGACAGATTGCTTGAAGGAGAAACGATACCAACACCACTCGAAACACCATTGGAGTGAAAGTCCTGTTGAGGACGAACTTGTTGAAGCTCGGAGAGCTAGCAACCAGTTCTGGCCAGTCAGTGCCTAGTGTCCGTAGGTAGCTATGATGCGCAGAGTCATATTCGAGAAATAGAAAGAGCGGAATGAAACCCTGTTGATATGGCATTGTGTTATTCAGTCTCCACGTAAAACGCTTCGTTCATTCGTTCATTGAATTGTTGTACATGAACCCTCGCTTTGATCGGGTTATGCTCAAACTCACTCCAAAAAGAATACCAACTCTAGTGATACAGATCTTCACTCCTCTCCCGGATTTAGCTTTAGAAGTGCAACTTCGCCTTCACCCCCTCAAACGCCATGCCGGGATGCCAACTCTCCCTCCTCGAGTCGTTGTTGGGGGTGGAAGCGGCAGAACTCCTTCTACGCTCGCTCTCCTCGACGCCAGCCTCGTTTCCCGCCTCCGGCCTGGCCTTGTGGAACAGGTGTCCGCGGGACGGGACGTCAAAGATGCGGCCCGGCTGTCTGGGGTGGTCGGTTGGGAGGAGGAAGTTGGGGACGTATTTCTTCAGGGTGGACATTTTTATCGCTCTGTCTCTTTCTCTTTCTCTTTCTCTTTGTGTGTGTGTGTGTGTGTGTGGTCAGAGTTCAGAGTTTTGGAACGTGATGTCTGGCGGTTGAGGTGTCTGAGTTCTTTGTACCTATCTATGTATGTATGCAGATAGGTAGGTAGTATTATTGGAGATACTGTCGGTTCGAACGGTCTTTCACCGGAGTCTTGGTGTGATGAGGATGGAATGTGTTCAATGCTTGCAGATGTGAATAACCTGATGTAGCGCTGGACAGACGGGCAAGGGAGTTATAGAGTCATATATATACATACACACATACATTTCCACATGGTACGCTCATGCCATGCGCACACATACAATAATCTCTCAGGGAGGCAGGGAGGCCGGTAGGCCGGTAGGTAGGTCCCCAATCGCCTCGCCTCGCCGCATCGTAGACATGGCCCAAAGAAGAAATCTACGTCATTGCTTCGCGGTATCGTGCCTCACCTATCATACCTACCTACCTACCCGCCTAGTTAGTAAGTACCAGACCCTCCCAAAAACCGCTCACATCGCCTTCTCTCCCGAAAGGACGCCGCTTCGCCCTAGAGGGTGAAGAGTGGAAGTCGGACGTGGGGGCGTGGGACTGACTCTAACACTGGCACTGACAAAGCGAGCGAGTGAGCGACTTTTTTTTTCGTCTTTGCAAAAGCTGACTGGCACCGTGACACTAGATGAGAGAATAAGGTCCTCGAAAGAAGGATAGTGAGACGGTCGCTGATGGGAGAGCTATGACGTCATGTCGTTCCTGGCGAGGCTGCGCGGTTGACGCCATGCCAGATTAGGTACAATGTCACGTGCAAGTATTGGCCTTGCCTATTCAGCCTCGTTGCACGGGAAAGGCAGTCGTATACGAGGCTTTGCAGTGTGATTCACGGTATTTCCCAGTTGAGGTTTCCGCATGGCATGCAGAACAGACTGAGTCTCTGTCGTTGGATCCTCTTCTCTGAATCGTGACCCCCGTAGAATGTAATTACTTAGTCCAGCCTCGTCGTGGGCATGGCTGAGAGCCCAATGCCCATCATACCAATCCCTTCCGTCCGTGGTCTATTCTGTGGTGGCATTGACTCTCTATTACGGAGGATACACAGCATAGATTCCATGATAAGTGTGGAACCAATTCTTGGAACAAGAGGAAAAGCCAAAAATTGCAGCGCCCTGATCTGATATCGTACGGATCTGATACCTTGCCGGTCTCGTGCTGTATCCAAGGTGTGTCCAAACGAGACATCAACACCATCAAAATTGCCTCTCGCTGAGAAACGCTTCGAGGATCCGTTTCTTGCGAGCATCCAACGCCTTCTTGTCCTTCCCTTTGAGCCTTGCCTCGTTTTCAGCCCGAAAGACCACAGGCGCAAATACCTCGACGTATGCGTCAACAAGCTTCTTTCGTCGCTCTGTAATCGCAACCGCCCCATCCGCCTCCGTGCCCACCTCCGACTTCGCAGACGAAGACGACACGCTGTTTGTGCGCCGTCGACGTAGTGCCGGGAAGAGGCTTCTCTTGCTGGGTGCTTCCGACGTGGTTGTCGAAAGACGATGTCCGGAGTCGGTGGAGACGGTGGACGCCCTCGACCGCCCAAAGGAGGTGCGATGTGACGAGGTCGGCGTGGTCGGCGTGACCGATCCAGGCGCCGGAGCACTGTTCATCATCATTTCGTTGACGATTCTGACGAGCAAGAAGGTGATAAACGTTAGCGACACGCTGTGCACCGCAGAAGAAGACACCGCATCCATGACCATATCCTGAATCTCTTGTGGTGTCAGCTGTGTCTTTCCCTTTTCCAAAGTGCTCAGTCTTCTCTCGACCTCGGCCCATGGCCCAGCAGGGACGATTCCGTCTCTCAACGATTGAAGGAAGGAAACCAGTGTTTCGGCGAGCACTTCCAGTCGAACAATGCTCGGTATGTCGAGGTTGAAATTCATGTCCAACCGATTTGCCGTGTCCAATGCTTCTCTGACTCCGGCTAACATTTCGGACCGTTCTTCGCCTTCGGGCAAGGTCCAAGTGTCACGGCCAAAAGGCCAAAACGATCCTCCATTCTCAAATTGCCACGGCGGCGTTTCCCCTTCGTGTAACATCCCCCATTCAGCTGCTGAACGCTCAATGTAAATGGGAAGAATCTCGGTGAGCGTATACAGTTCCTTGGGTGCCGAGTGATGAGCAGCTGAATTTGTGGTTTCTGTGTCGCTTACTGAGCCATTCGTTTTTTGATGCTGTCGGAACTGCCGTACACCGCCTTCAGGGGCTAGCACCAATTCATCCAGCGTCCGGTAGAACGATGACTGAAGCCATGTGCCTTTGACGGGTATAAAGTGATCTCGACCATTCTCGACTCGGAGTACAAGCACATCTTCGAGGTCTGCCTCTCCCTCATTCAAGTCGTGGACCAACTCGCCATCCCAGATGTCAATAGTCAGGTCAATAACAGTGGTTTCACCCGGGGACAGGACTATTTCACGTGTGCCGTTGTGCTCGCCACGCTCGGAGGGATGAATAGTGCTAGGTTCGACGCTGAGTTCGAGCCATCTCGGTACAGCATGCACACCTCTGCCAGGTTCTGGTGGGCGTTCCACAAAAGAAAACGTGGCGTTGATTTGCCCCGTGTTCGCTATGGTGACCATTCTCGTCTTCCTCACACCATAACGCACCTCACCAAAGTGTACGACATTCATGTCTGCCGGACCGTCAGCGTTCGGTATTGGCTCTTCGGAATGATTGTCCACTACCACTGTTACCGACGGACGGCCCTCGTTCTCTGCCTTGTCCAACTGTTTCGCAACATCCTGGTGTACTTTTGCCTTCAATTCTGGTATAACGGCGTCGTACAATATGGTGAAGACCGCGTTCAGAGGCTTGTGGTCTGATGACAGTATCCGTTGGTGTGAGATGTAGTTGTTGAGCTCAACCATGTCTCCATATTCCTCGTGCGACTGTACAAGTTCTGCATCGTGAAGCACATCTTGTGTCTCGTCGTATTCGTCGCAGTCATCACCATACGCAAGCCCATCTGTATCAGGATCGTAGTCGAATAGGACGTCGTGCTCTGCATTGGCCTCGTCGATCCCGCGGGCCCTCATCGAAGCATCCTTCTTGCGAGCTTCTTCACGCTGTCTGACCCTCTCCTCATATATGTCCTTGTCACGGCGAGTTCTGTACAGAATCCGGTCGCACCAGCTGGGGCTTCTCTTCTTGTCTCCCGAGTCGAACATCCCAACACTACCCACATCATATTTGTATGTGGGCAAGAAATTTATATCTCCTTCCCGCCATCCATCGTGGAATGCCTTGCCTAGCCTTTGTTGCGCGCGCAGTTGATCGTGTGCCAGAAGAGACTGAAGAGTGGTATGGAGAGAAGCAGGGTCGGATTTGGGGTCTAGTTCTGGTTCGGCGGTACTTTCGCTAGCTGGTCTTTCTGCATCTTTGTATTCGTAACGTGGATGCGGAGCTGGCAGTTGCGAGTCGCTTGTCGAGGCAGATATGTAGCCCAGCTCACTGTCGATCTTGCGCTTCGACTTGTTTTGGACGTCGTACTCGTTCTGTGTGTGCAGCAAAAGCAATCTCCTGACGTCCTGACCGGGAATGTCGTCCAGGCGATAGTTGAGGTCGCCAAACCAGAATGCAAAGTCCTCGTCCCCAATCCTTTCCTCCTTGGGCTCAATGACCTCACTGTCTGTGACCGGAGAAAAGCGGGTTTTGCTCAAAATCTGACTGGTATCCCAGATCCGGCGAGCCAAAGCTGCTTGGTCCGCGCCTGCGGCCAGATGACAATTGATAAAGCAGAGTTTGGTGGCCTCTGCAACCACGATCCTCGCCGCCACAGCACCTTTATTGCCGAAGTAACCCATCAAGCCAGTTCCGACCGACGTCGTACTAACTGAAGTAATGCTGGGCGCTAGTTCCGGGGAAGCAAAGATGAGGAGCAGCAAGCCAAAGAGTTGTTCTTCGGCTACTTTCTTGTAACCCTTTGGCAGAGCTCTTCGCAATGACTTCTTCCACTTCT